AGTAGTCGCGCAACGTATGTTAAAAATGTGAATAATGCAGCCGAAAAGTTGGATAACGAACGGTGGTCGTCAGCAGCGAGAAAATGGCTCGCCTTATCGGGAAAGCGCAAGTGGAATCGTTCGCTTTCACGAGATTACAAGCGGTGGGCTCTCGCGAGCCCGTGTCGGGAATCCGATGCGTAACGCTCGCGCGCCGCGATCTGGCTCGCTCGCTTATTCGCCGACCGGCGCGCGATTTTCCCATGCCGATAGCCGGGCGCGCGGAGATGATGCGGTTGCCGAGCGGATTTTCGTTCGACCGTTACGCAAGCCGCGGATACGCACGCGCCTCGTCCCAACGAACTCATCCGTATTTGTAGAGGCAAATTGCGCCTTCCTCCGATTTACGGTCTGGCGTACGCTCTACGCGATGTCGCGATGCACGTTCGTTGGAGCGTGCGGCCGATCCTCGTCTCCGTTCCTCCTCCGATTGTTCGCCTGCGAACGCACGAGTCGTTTGTTTTCGAGTTGTTCGAATGTGTACGGCCTCGCGCTGGCCGACGACGAGTAGCGCCTAAGGGGAGCATTTCGCTTTCGCTCTAACGCAAGCGAAGAGACGTTTCGACCACTCGAGAAATCATTATTCGATTGAACAGTCGGCACGACTGCTATTGAAAGACAAGATGTCAAGGTGAATTCGACGGAGCGATCGAGTATGGGGTCTGCTTCGAGTACCATCGGACAAAAGAAATCGCTTTCATTTTCTCTGGCTACGGACAGTATTTTTATTGCGTACTCCGCCAGTTAGGATCCTATCGTACGTATTGCGCGTACATCAACGGAGATCGGGACTGTCGAGGAGCACGATGGTTAGCGGCGAGCGCTCGCTGCATCTCGAGCGCAAAGAAAGTTTCGCCGCGCACACGTCCACAATGGACCGTCGACGGCATCCGTGAGTTATCGCACGCGAGGCAATAAAACCACGATTTCTCGACTCTCGACTCTGTGGCGCGGTCAAGTTCGCGAGAGTCACGCGGCGGGCGGCTCGCCAGGAGCCGCCCCTTCGAGCGCGCTGATTTCACTGTGACCGAGACGCGCCGGAAGTCTCGTTGCCCCGTCAGCGCGCACTCGTACGTATGTCCGTCGATCACGGGAGCCGCCCAACGCGCGGGCTTCGCTGTAAGCGTCCGTGCGATGGAAAGTTTCGCCGGCGCTTTTCGGAAACGTTTATTCGGTCGTTAGGCGAAACCATTTGGCTCGGCCAAATGACTGGCGTTCCTCGCGCCTTGCTTCACGAGCATTCCTCACCGATCGCTCTCGTTAGCGCGCTGCTCGGCATACTTCTATTGTTCTTACTTTTCGTTCGACTCTCCGTCGCGCGTGCGCCGATTTTCGGAGAGTCAACCCATGCGCTCGTCCGCGACACTGCGGCTTCGAACGCTCGTTGTTCCACTGAATCTCAAACTCCACGGTCGATAAGGTCTTTTCCGAGTTTGGTAAGCAGGCAGCTTTGCGTACCCGGTGAAAGTCATCCTCGTGTTCGGTTTCGGAGAGTCGGTATTACCAACGGAGCAGCGATCGACGATGCGCCATGCAAAATACCGATCCTGGAACGATACTTTCACCAATCTTGCAGGCTCAGCATGAGAGGCCGCCACTTTATTTCGTTATTAAATCCAGATTTTTTCTGAATCATCAAAGGAATTGCAATATACACGTGTACGCACATATTTAATCGAAATTCAATGTGACGGGTATTTGGCGGCAACGATCGCTTCAATCACCTTAGAAAGAAATACCAAAAAGGTGTTTGTTACTTAAAGACACGTTGCCCTTTAATTCAGCAATATTCCTGCATTCGTAAGAATATTATAAAATTATTCGAATCCACAGATCGATTTCTTTAGACGTCGAAAATGACAGGAAACGAAGTGGCAGCGGCAAGGGTAGAGCACCGACAACTCTGGAAAAGAGAAGAAAAGAAAAAATGTAACGGCGTGAAAATACAACGGCAACGAGTTGGAAAGTCAACATTGGAGATGAGCTCCATTGTCGGAAAGGCTGAGCACCTTTCTCTTTCTTTCCTTCCTCGGCTGCAGCGTGTTAGCAACCGCATGCTTTGCCGTGGCTTCCGGTATTCAAAACGCCTTGTGCACGCGCACTTGTCAGCCTTTCTTTGCTCTGCGAAAACAGAAGATGACGTAAAGTCGCTTTACAGCCGAGACTGCTCGGAAAGATAATACCTGGAGCTACCGACGAAACCGCACGCCGCCGCGCAGTTATAGTTTTTGCCGAGGACTCATTAGTGTAAGCGCGTTTGCTCGTAAACTATATATACCAACAATTCCGTTTCAATTCTCCTCCTTGGATTATCATTTGGGCGATTTAGCCGAATGAATAATTGTAATTGGCTCGCGCGAAGTAGCAGTTTCTTGTGTTTCGGTCTTCCAGAGAAAGCTCATTACTTTCTCTCGAAGACGTCTATCAAAATCTGCTTATTTTTACGACGCTAGCCGTACAATCTGGAATTGTTGAAAAATAACTCCCAGTCGTAATGAATCAAGCGAGGCGCGAGCGGAGAACCGAGCATACAGAAATAACCAATCGTCGTGTACGAGCGGACAAAAAAATAAAAGAAACAATGAGAACTAACGAAATAAGAGAAAAAGCCCCAACAACGACGCGTCGTCGAAAGTCGGCCGTAATTCGATTCGAAAGAGCTCGACAGGCGCGTGGAGAAGGAAGCCGATCGACGGCGACGATGTCGGATGGTCGTCCGACGACGCGCGGGCGTCGCTGCGCCAAACTAGCGCTGGCACGGCACAAACGAGCGTCTGCAGAATGATTGTCTTCTGGTACACGAGGCACCCGCTGAGCGATTACGTCAGGCTCGGCAAGTAGGTGACCGGCGCTAGCGGCGGGTGAAAGCGCGCGAGGGTCACTTATCAAAGGCTCTACGCGAGTCGCGTGTATTTTCCCGATTCTCGCGCGCCAAATTGAGATGTCACTGGTCGAACTCGCCAACGAGTCGAGTGCCTGTACCGGTGCGCTCTTAAGTGCCAAACACGAGATCGACCTGCCAAGCAAATTTCATAAGGTGTCCGACTTGCCGCGTCGGCCGCGATTACGCAAGCCGTTACGTCGCTTCGGGCAAAATGCGAGTAGCAGCCGCGGCGACGAATGCATCGGCTGATTTCGGCGCGGCATGTCGCGGGTGGCCCGCGCTATTTTCATGGGGATATTTCGCCGACAGCCGCGCGATCACGTACACGTCGCGGCGTCTCTTTCTCTCCCGAGCGCAATCGCGGAAGCGCCTCTGGAGCTTGTAAGCGAGGGAGCCACCGCGGCGGCGGTGACATCGCTGCTTTCTCGAGTCTCCCGCGTCCGATTATCGGAATGTCGCTGGCCTAACATGCAAATGAGCGCTCGTCGAAAGCTCGGCAAAACCCAGCGAGAGCTAATCCATTCGCGATCTGCGCCCTCGTACTTGTCTGCGCTGCAGCCGTCCCTTGCTCCGAATGGCCCGCTTTATTTAAGGAGGACGCGCGCGCGCGCCGACGCCGCGGCTGACGACCTCTCGATCGCTCCTTCTTTTTCATTTCGAGAGAGCGACCCGCGAACGCGCGCGGGCCGCACAATAAAGCCGGTGTGAAAGTTGCCTCGTGGCGGCTCGCCAGACCCGCAGCGGCGTCTCTCGCGTCCGCTCGGCGACCGCGACCGCGGCCGGAGGCTGCTGCTCGCCGTGCCGAGGAAAATCGCTTTCGCTGCGCGATCCTCGGCGCCGATGAGCCGCGGCGATGGCGATGGCCTGCGGGTGCCTCCGTCGATCGCCGCTTTCCATCGCGCGACTTTCCAGGACCGCGTCGGCGGCGCGCCTGACGACGACCGACCGCGACGCGCTCGCGAAGAAGCGCACTTTCGCCGCCGCCGAGCGCGATGAGCAGCGGCTGTTACGTAAAGCGCCCGATAGGCGACAGATGCTACTGTCGCTGGAAAACGAGGAAGTCATTACGCGACGCAATTGCGTTGGAAAATTGAAAGGACGATTAGAGAGAGAGCGCGGGATCCCCCCCCCTCTCTTTCTCGAAAGCGAATGGCTCGTGCGTGCATCTGCTCGGAGACTGTGTACCCCCCTATCGATTTTCACCTCGTGATTTACGCCAGCCGAGGGCACCAGTGAAAGTTATCCGCGGAAGCTTCTCCGAGCGGATTTTTCTTCGTCGTCCGATATATGCCTCGACAAGCGAGATGCATCAGCCAGCCTCTCTATGACTCTAGAAACTTCCGATCGAAAGTTGTATAAGGCCGCCTCTATGGATCGTATTAATGCCCCTTTTTTCCTATTCGAACTCTCTCTCTCTCTCTCTCTCTCTCTCTCTCTCTCTCGCTATCGATGTTCGTCGTTCGATGCTCCGGCAGCTAGAAGAAGGAACGTGGTTGCGCAAGCGAGCGAAGGGAAGAAGGAAGAAATAAGCCAGGAGATTTAAAGTTTATGTAAAAAAATACATAAAAAAGCTTTATTTCGCCACCGTTTTCTTGCAAAATAAAAAAGAAGGTATAAAAAGATATTTATAATATCGTCGTCGGGCGATTGCGTTGCCCGAGAGCTGGCTGCGTTCGGGTCCGCGGGACCCGGCGCGGTTGCTCGCGGGCGCGGCAACGTCTCCTCTCTCTCTCGTCGTCTCTCTCTCTCTTTGGCAGGGCCGATCGATGAGCCTCGGCCCCCGAAATTCGCTCGCATTAATATAATACAGTCGCTGAAGGCCCGCAGCGCAGTCTGCCGGCAGTTTGAGTCTTCTCATCGCGGGGTCGGCGACGCGCGGCGCGAGACCGCCCGTCGCCGGGTGTACATCTGGGCTATCTTACAACGGACTTGCGTGCCGCTTCGCCGGCTCGTGTTGTCTGCGTCTGTGTGTGTGTGTGTGAGTGTGTGTGTGCGTATGGGCGCGTGTGCGTGCGTGGGGCTGGTGGTAGCCGTGAAGCACAGAAGCCGGGAGGACGCGTGTTCGTGGCTGAATTGACTAGTAGGGGCCCGAGGCGCCGGGTGGGCCGTAGCTGCCGCTAGGGCCGCCCGAGGAGCCTCCGCCGATGGCTCCGCCGGAAGAGCCGCCGTGGCCGCCGCCGATGCCGCCGCCGAGTCCGCCGTCACCTCCGTGGCCACCGCCGAGTCCGCCGAGTCCGCCGAGTCCGCCGAGTCCGGCGTCTCCGCCGCCGAGGCCTCCCAGACCTCCACCAATGGCGCCACCGCCACCGCCGTCCTTCTGCAAAGTCGTCGGTCACATTGGCATCGGTTGATCGACCGACTCGACGAGCGCGCGACAACGCCAGTGCTTACCTGCGTCTTGTACTTGATGAAGTAGACCTCCGGCTTGCTGGGCTGAGTGGGAGCGGCAGTGGGGATGGTGAATTCCGGAGCATCCTCGGGCTTCTTCACCAGTACGTAGATGAGCGTCTTCTCGGAGTCACCGGCGGGCAGTTGCGGGATGACCGGGGCAGTGGGGGTTGGCGGAGTGGGTGCTTTGATGAAGATGATCTTGTAATGCTTCTGGGCAGGGCTCTGGGGCGCGAACTGCCGCTGGGGGGCGATCTCCGCTGGCTCCGGTGGGGGCACGTGCACGTAGATGTGCTTCTGGATGAGGGTGCCGCCGGATCCGCCGCCGAAGCCGCCGGATCCGCCGCTGAATCCACCGGATCCGCCGCCAAATCCACCGGATCCGCCGCCAACGCTGCCGCCGAATCCGCCGGATCCTCCGCCGAGCGATCCGCCGCCGAAGCCGCCGGATCCGCCGCCAAATCCTCCGGATCCTCCGCCGAGCGAGCCGCCAAATCCGCCGTGACCACCTGTTGATTTGCATTCTCCGTCAGCACCGCTCGATTCTTCGCGCGCGCGGTTCGTGCGCTTCTGCCGTCGATTCTCGCGCTATCAACGAGCTCTGCTGCGAATCTTTGCGAACGTCAGCAACGCGGAAAGGGTGGCAGTTTGCGCCGAGAACATCGCGTTGCCGGGCCAAGGATATTTCCCCTCGTAGGGAGAGGAGATATTCTTGCTGTCGGTTCAACGGTGCTCGTCGACCGTCGTTCACCTCCGAGGCTGGCGCCGCCGCCGCCGAATCCGCCGCCACCGCCGTGGCCGCCTCCGAATCCAGCGCCACCGCCGAAGCCGCCACCAGCTCCACCTCCTGGGGCGCCGTAGCTGCCGCTAGGTGCGCTCGGCTGCTGGTACGCGTAGCCGGACGGAGCCTCGGGTCTGGCCAGAGCCACGCTGGCGAGTGCTAACACCTGCGAAACGCACAGCGCTCTTGCCTTACTCACATCTCGATCACTTTTGCGATGCACTTTGGCCGTTTGCTTTCGCTTTCTTGTCTTTTTTTCTTTTTTTTTTCTTTTTCCTTTTTTCTTTTTTCTTTTACCGTAATCGTACAGCCCGAGCTCGAAAATTTAGGCCTCGGAGCCGTTAAAGTCGAGTAGCTCGAACGATGTTTGCTCTTTCTCTCCGCACGCGACTCTCACTGTGCTAAAACAAACACGTGAGACTTTTCTGCGCGCGAACAATCTCCGGTCGTCGTTGGATCTTTATCGGCGGTCTCGATCGAAAAGTGCAGACGGTGAGAAAGTAGAAAAAATAAATCAACGAAAACTGAAACAAAGAGGGAGAGAGAGCGCGCGCGCGAGAAGAAGAGGAACGTTGACGAGGTACGTTACCCACGGAGAAAAGGGAAAGGAGTCTCGGTCACGAGAGAAAGAGAAAGAGAAAAGGAAAGGCCGAGCGAGAGACCGGCACTTACCAGAAATGCCCTCATGGTTGCTGCTGTTCCTTGATTTGAGGACTGATGCTCCGTAGTTGTCTCGGGGCCCCTTTTATACGGGTCAGCAGCCGACGGGGACCCCACTCGCTCGCCACCAGCCGAAGAGAGTCCCATCACCTATGAGATGCCACCGGAGGCCTATTGCAAATCTCGTTCGCGCTCGCTCGCTCCTTCTACCACTCCAATTTGCCTCCACGCCCCCCCCCCCCCCCCCGACCCGGACACCGACTTCATCGGGCCAACGTCTTCGCCGTTTGTGCACTTTACCTTTGCACGCGCACCGAGCGGCACCTGCCTTGCTCGAAGCCTTGATCTTTTTGCGAATCCTGCCTCGATTCGCTGTCTCGGGCTCGCTCTTCATCGCTGCATTTACACCGAATCACCCACTGCTTGCATTCACGCTCAACCGACGACTTATCACGGCCGTATTTTGTCCATTAGAACGGAAACGCTGCGAGCGATCCACGCGTGAAATGTCGAGCTCTCCTGTGATTCGAGGACTCCTTCTGCTGCCAAAAAAATGTGTCTGAAAGTAGCCTTTGACGAAGAAAGACTCTCTCCGTATAATGATTGTCCACTCGGAAAGAGTATTCTTGAGCTTCGTTGTCTATTAAACTTCAAACCACTTGCAACGAGGACAACATAAAAATAGGATTTTCACTGAAGAATTTTATCGGAACATCCGTTGTAACAATAAGAGACCGTTCGTTACGAGATCATCATATTGATAACAGTTGATTTTTCATAGTCGCAAACAAAGCTCGTTACGCAGATATTTATTCGATCTGTCAAATATTTTCACATGGAAATGGAGTATTTTGTCAATTCCACTGTAGCCTCATTGTTTTTCAGCAGGATCGATTCCTCGTTCCATAACGTGATTATGTCAAGAAATTGCCCTCTAGCAGTGATAAAAAATGTAGTTTCCTGAGTGAAACGGGGTTCGTCGAAAGCTTCGCCGAAAATGTGAGTAAAAACGACTGCGATAACTGCAGCGATCGTACAAGCGATCGGTCTGGAAATTATCAGCTTGTTACAACCTTGCGACCTGTCATAATCATCGCAGCGTGGAAACGCGAAAATCACTCGTCGCGTCGTTCCAGACTATAGACACGGACCCCAATTAAAGAATTTGGAAACGTTTTTTCGCTTTGATTTATAACCGTTGCATAAAGAAGTCGAAAGTAAGTTAATGGCCATCCGTGTGATTGACTAGCAAGTTAGAAATTAAAGAATACAACCTGAACGCGTCCGATTGGTAGGATTAACAAGTATAATTTCCGAGGCGCTACACGATGAGCAGAAATAGAACGCGATGCTACGGTCACGCAAGGATTAGCTATTCGTTTTCTTTTTTATCTGCTCACTAATTTGGTCGCTTTGCCTTTTCATTGATATATCTCTTGCGAAACGTAACGATGACCCGTGCAAACGGTAATGGCGGAAACCAAGAACGGGGTCGTGCACTCGTGACTGTTTATTTTTTTGTTTTTCGTCCCGCAGGAAAGAAAATCGAAAACGTGGAGCCCAGCGGGTATTTCAGCCGAATAGTCACATTAGATTTCGTTCGTACAGGTGCGAAAGGCCCAGCGAAAAGAAAGCGAGAGAGGCCTTCGCGCAGAAGATTCCACAGCTTGGAGCAGCGCAGCGCAGTGCTGCATCGCTGGTGGTGTAGCTGAACGGCGATCTCGAGATTGCGCCGAAATTCGCGAAACCGCTCTTCTCTCCGTGATACTTTGTAAACACTGGCCGCGCGCTATTCTCATTTCTTTTACAGCCTCCCACCCCGAGGAAAAAAAGGCCGCTTCCAACGAGCGCAGTCCAATAAGAAGTTATTGCGCGCCGCGGGTATTGCGCGAATCATTCGTGACGGAATATAACGCGCGCATTACTCGCTCGCGAGTCGGATCAACATGCGGAAAAATAGTTAATAAAGACGAATGTTAGGCGGCAATGGGGAAACCGCGAAAGGCAAAAAACTAACGCCAGTCGATCCGCGTTATTACTATTTCTGTATTAGCCAGTTTGAAGATAAACACAACGCAGCGATTACACGGTGAACCGGCCAATTAACCAATTACCAGGCATTAGCGTGCAATTTAGCTACAGTTTGGTGAGCGGTAAAAATTAAAAAAGAAAGAGCGCTGGTGCCTCGATTTTCCGAGAACGCGCAGGCTTCAATAAACTTATAGAACAACGACGTAGAGAGAGAGAGAGAGAGAGAGAGAGAGAGAGAGAGAGAGAGAGAGAGAGAGAGAGACAGAGAGAGAGAGAGAGAGAGCTTTCGAAGGGAAACAATTACGGAGAGGGACAGGTGTCGAGCCGCGTGTTTGTAAATAAAAAAGCGGGAAGCCAGACGCAGCGCCGCAGCTCGACTTTCACCATCGCTGCTCAAAATTACAGCTGCGCGCAGCGCTAAAGTTTAATGCCCGGGCGCTTTATTATTCGGCGACGCGCGCCGCTCCTGTGCTGCGGTTGGACCCCGGCGCAGCGCGGACAACTCGTTCGCTTGCGCAACGGCTCGATCGCCGCTGGAGGACCCCGCGCGACACGCCACACCCTCGGAACGTCGACCCGCGGCAAATTCCCTTCCGCCGTCGAATCGATCGAAACGATTTCCGACGCTCCGGCGAATACCCCACACATTGACCTGGATATCTCTCGACGGGCGCGCTGCTACTGGCGTCGGGGCGCGTTACGAAACTCCGCTGCGACTTCCGTACGCGCGCGGATGTAGGGCGGAGGCTGCCGTGCGGGCAGCTGCGCGCGAGCATGATTTGCGGCACGGAGCCGAGAGCTTTCGAGCGACTGACGGGATAGGGAGAATGTCCGAGTCGGCTGGCGAGCGACTCGCCAATTTACGTAACGTGGCATGCTTCGGCTATGCAGATCTGGCTGTGGCGGCGCGGCATCAGTAGGTGAAGAGGCGAATTATACAATAAACGCAGATTTACGATGCCGTAAAGTTTAATTGGCTCGGAGACCGAGCGAGCGGTGACCTCACACCGCGGGCCTCCTTTCTATGGTTACTACACTTTACGCCGCGCGTGCGCTCGTTTTTCGTTCGGAGGCCCACTTTTCAACCATCATCTCGCAGTACACCTCCCGACCTATGTTTATGTACACTTTTTTTGGCAACCACCGGCGAAAGTTCTACGCGTGCCGCGTGCCCCCCCCCCCCCCATGGCGGCTCCTACCCGTTATGTAACTGCATCACCGGACAATGACGAAGCCACAAATCTTCGTCTCCTAATTCCCATCCTCTGTCCGGTTGCCTCGCGATGCGCTCGCAAAGTCCACGCGATCGTTCGAAATTAAATCGATCGCTTGTCCGTCCTTCTTCCGTGCTTTACGTAAGCATTGTGAGAACTTATGATATCGTAGGTGAACGAAGTGTACGTTCGAGAGAGTCTGTGCAAAAATTGACCGCAAGCCATTCGCGCGCGCCGAAAATTGAATCTCATCGTCTTCGGCCTCGTTCCTCGGGAACTTTTAAATGAATTCCGCGCGCTCGTTATCGCATTGATGCTCCTTGTCCGTCAAACGAAAATCGTCAATGCTCCTTGAAGCCGATTGTCGTGTTTTTACGGCGGAACGAGGATTCCTCGCGGTGTAGCGCTAAACACAGACTTCTGCTTCTTTGTTTTACGACCGCGTCGTTAACCTTTCGAGAAACCAAGTGTGCGATCGCGGTTTTCGTCGACGCAAAGCGCGTAATTTGAGTTACCGCCGCGCCGTGAAATCGCGAAACCAGACGGATGATAAAAAATTCAATTAATAGACGAACATTGAAAACGCTAAACTTTCTAATGGTAGCGCTTGATGTGTGGATATTTGGCGGGAAGGCGATGCTCTTAAATAATTGGAAAATCGCTCGGACGTCAATGAGTCCGGGAAGAAAAACAATCGCGGGGAAATCAGTCAATTACCGTAACGATCCCGCACGGCACTCATGAGCCGCGATTACATCTGTAATCACGATGCTCGGTGCGCGCGAGCGCGCCCCCGGGCGCTTCCATTGTATCCCGAAAGAGATAGGCATCGACTGACCATTATGGAGCTCGCAATCTCGCGGCTGTCTCTCGAACGTGAAGCGAGCCGAGGACACGTCGCCGCGAGCTTCGCGGCCAAAAATCCATCGATGATCGCTGTGCCCGTCGTCGACTTTCTCGTGCGAGGGGGCGCGCGACAATGGACGCTCGATCGAGCGGGAGACCTCGACGCGCGGTGACGCAATTGGCCTCCCTCGACGACGAGGAAGCGCTGTTTGTCGGCGCATACGAGCGGACGGCTTGCGCAACGCCGAAGCTCGGCAGTGCAGTAACGGCGAGCGCGTCGACGGAGAGATGCGCGCTCGGTCGACGAGTCGTCGGGGCATAGGTGTGTTTATTTTTGCACGTACACGCGCCTCTCGCCTTTCCCGCGGCCGGTCCACGCGTTGCGCAAGGCCTAATACCGACGTACTGGCGGGGGGAGGGATCCTGCCCAATCAAGCGAGTCCTTCCACGATTGCCACACGCCGCGCGTCTCCCGAATGGCGCGTAGTGCTCGCATCCAGCCGCGCGAAATTTGCAATTCCTCTGCGCGCGGGCAGCGAGCGGCTCTCCTACTGCTGCAATTGCGCGTTAAACGTGCGCTAATAAGCCCAACGATTGCCCGCTCCGCGGTTTGCGTCATCCTTTTCTCCGAAAATTGAGGCGTTCGCTTTGCCGCAACTCGGCCACCGCTCGATTGATCGCGCGAGCTGCGTCGTCTCGAGACTGCTGCGCTTCCGACCGCGCGCGCGCGCGTTTCTCGAAAACGACGGCCGAAGCTCGGCGCGAGACAAAGACGAGGCGTCGTTAATAAGTTTGCAGGCGAGCGCGACTCGTTTCCGCCTTCTCTCGGCAGCTGCGTTTCGAGACGACGGCACGCGCGAGGCGATTACAGCCAGCAGCAACGAGCCACTCGAAGCGCGCGACGACAAAGAAATGCACTCGCGCTGACGCTCGCTG